CATGCATGACAGTTTGCCAGGTCCCCAAAGTGCCTCGTGCTGGGCTCAGGTGTCACCACTCAGACGAGGGACATGGAGGAGGCTGCACTTCTCTCTGACCAGCGGGCCTGGGGCATCTGGGGCATGTCCCCATCTCCTATGATCCCCCCACGACTGGACCTTCAGGGTCTGCCCCACCTGGACCAGCGATACGCCCCGGTATCTGCAGCCAGCGCATGTGGAGGCCCCTCTGGAGGGTGGAGGGTAGCTGCCAGCACCCGGCTGCCAAGAAAAACAAGACGGTGGGGTTTACATCCCCAGCTCTCCACCCACAACCTCCCCCAAAAGGCCAGGCAAGTTCACATAGGACAAGAAGCAGTCAGTCTGACGGCTGGACTGGCTCACTCACATCTCACCGGAACGTGCTCGCTATCTCATCAGGAAACGCAGGCCAGCCCGGGTTCAGCCTCTTCTACATGGTAGAGGCAGAAAGGCCTCTCGCGGGAGCTGGGGCCCTGGAAGGAAAGTGCTTCCACCTGGGGACTTGGGGTGGAGAAGCCGCGTGGGCTTGGCTGACCTTCCTTCAGCCTCAGGAGCTCTCCTCTTGCTGAGTGGGATTTATAAGCTCATAACCCTGGGATGGTAACGACTTGCACATGTGTGGTCAGCGTGTGTCCTGACTTTTTGCTTTGATTCGGTGTCAAATGCTGGTGTAGGTGGGTGTTTGGTGGCAGGGCTGGCGCCGGGGAGGGAGCAGCGGCAGAAGTCCCACTGTTTTTGTTATGGATGGCATGGTCACATCAAGGACACCTGGCCTGGGACTATGTCTGCTTCTGTCTGCGTCCAGGTTACGCTGAGGTGGACCAGGCAGAGGCCCAGGTGGAAATGGAAAAGATACGGTTGGAGAGAGGTGGGTGGGCCTGCCTGACACCAGTTATCTACGATCAAGAATGTGCCCTGGACTATTTTTATGCCATCTGTATTTTCTTCATTTTCCTCTTCTTCTGGTAGGGCTCCTTTTGGACCCTTGGTCCAGCTCATTAGAGCTAAAAGGGAAAGAGGGGTGGAGGCCCCTGTGCTCCTCGCCAGGGTAGGGTGGTGGCATGGGGGCCATGAGAAAGCTCTTCTGCACCGCCCCCCAGCCCTGGTCCACAGGACCACCGAGGACTCAGGCAGGGGAGCTGCAGAGGGGCCGTGGGGTCCCCAACCCTGACACTGCAGGGGTCTGGCTGGGAACCTGGAGGCCCCTGTGGGTTCAGGTGTGGGGACGACACCACGCACACACACAGACACACACAGACGTCCCCCTGCCTTTCTGGCACAGAGATCTTAGTTTTCTGCCTTCCCCTCCCTCCCAAACCCTCACACAGAACCCACAGGGCTTTTTTTTTTTTTAAGCACTTTTTTCTTCTTACCCCAATCAAATTGATGACTAGGAAAGTATGCGGCTTGGTAAGCAAAATTCTTGTGAAAACGAAATTCCAAAGCCCTCAGCAGCCGTGACCTCCCTGCACGGATACGCCCCGAATCATGCTGCTTTTCGTAAATCGCCACCCGCCTGGGGGCAGCACACAATGGCCAGTGTTGACACCGGATTCCTCGTGTTCCCGAGGCCTCCACCCCACGTGCCGCTGCTGGGGGTGCGTCCCCTGTGTGGCTCTGCGTCTGTCCCCAACCCCGGAGCCCAATCTGCCCTTGGGTGGACGTTCACCTGTGACTGACTGTGGAAGGACAGGCTGCACCCCGGGCCAGGTGCAGCTCCAGCAGCGCTGGCCACGGGCCAGCAGGCTCCTCAGGAGGGACAGGACCCCCTGTGTGCCAGGCCCCATGCGCGGCACTGGGAACCGAGGCCCTGCCCTCCTCCCAGGGCTCCAAGCCTCCCTGGGAGACCAGACCTGCACGCTGCATCTCCTGATGGGTCTGGGGGAGGAGAGGTGGAGGAGGTAGATGTTCGAGGTGCCCAGGGCTTTGGCTGCGTGTCCCTGCCCCAGAGGACCCTCCAGGACCCCTCAGGGCTGCTTCCCTTGGCCTCTGCCCCAGCAGCCAGCCCCACAGACCCTCCCCCCTCCCATTTACTGGTTGTCACAGCACTTAACCACCTGCCATCTGGGGTGGAAACTCCAAGCAGGCAGGGCCCCTGGATTGTCTGCACACAGTAGGCCCTACTCAGCACTTGGCGGAATGAGTGTCAGCTCCCACTTCTGGGGCCCCACCCGTTATGACCACACAAAGCAGCCTCACAGAAGGGCGGCCCTGGGGGAGGGGACAGCACCCAGACCTGCATGACCGATCCCGCTGATTCCCTGTCACATGACGCCCAGAACCACTGCTTATGCGGAGAGCTGCCCCAAATCTTACTGTGCAGAAGGGAAAGCTGACAGCCTGGCCGGGCCAGTTCCCACCACGGGCCTGAATTAAACAGTTTAATCAATTAGTGAGATGGACGCCTCTGTGTCAGCTGCAGCTCTAATGAGGGGCTCCCCGCCCCCACCCGTGGGACGCACTGGCCTTCTCCCTGGGCCCCTCAACAGGGCCGGACTCAGCCCTTGTCCTCCTCAGGCGGGTGCAGCCCCAGGAGCGGGTCTGGGAATCTGGCCCTGCAGCACCAGCTGGACACTCGGCCACACAGGGCCAGGCCCTCCCTGCAGCCAGCTTTCCTTCCAGAACCCAAGTGGCAGAGACAGGAAGGGCCGGGGGCGAGGGGTGGGGGGGTGGAGGGGCTTATGCAACCATCTCCATTTGTGGATGAGGACACAAAACTCCTGGGGACCCTGGACGTGGCCCAGTGGGACTGAGGTCACAGGGACAACGGGTGGGTAGCCAGCACTCCCTCCCTCCCTCCCCAGCATTCCTCAGCCTTGAACACATGCACACCACAGAGAGACGCACAGACACACGTGTAGACACACATGCAACCGCACGCACAGACCCCCAGGCTGCAATCTTCTTGCAGTTCCCTTCCCAGAGTGTGAGCACGGGACCAAGCACAGCACCACCCTGCAGAGACTCAGGCCTGGAGCCTCCCCCTGATCTGTCCAGGTCAAGGCCCAGGGTCAGGGTCAGTGCGAGGGCACGTGTGTGAGCATGTGTACGTGTGTGTGTGTGGCACGTCTCTCTGTCTCTGCTTCCCACTCCCTCCCTGGAGTCCGCAGCATGAGTGGCTCTGGGCACTGACCACACCAGCTGCGTGTGTCCTTCTGACAATCGGACTGGACTTTTCCCAGCTGTTTGGAGATAGAGCTGCCCACCCCCTCGTAACAATTAGAAAGTTGCTCATGTATTTACAATGGGGAGCGGGGCTGGATGTTTCAACGCCTGGCTTCAGTGAGCGGGAAAGGCCAGCGGGAAATAAAGCAAACCTCGGCCTAGCCTGATGTCCTCTGACTTCCTTCCTAAAAAGACAAGGGGCCATGTGTCGCTGGTGTAAATCTCTTCTCTTCTCGGGGTGCCGACATGCCCTGGGATGGAAGCCTGCCATGGGGGCCCACACGCGGGGTGTCAGGGCTGTGTGCCCACCCGGCAGGGAGACCCTCACCCACACCATGGTCCACGGCCACCAGGCCCTGGGTGGCAAAGGAGATGGCTTTAACATGCAGGACGGTCTCCACTCTCCACGGCAAGGCTCCCACAGAAGGACACGGGAGCCCAAGCTCACACGTGTTGGCTACGGACTCCACACCCCGACGCCCCCAGGACCGCCCGCCTCCGCACACTGCCCTTCATCCACCGAGGTCTTGTCTGGTCTGAACTGGTGGTCCCAACTGGGGGTCTGGCGCTGACATACCCACGTCATGCTCAAAAGCACTGAGGGCCATGGGGGCCAGGGTGCAGGCTGCCTCGGCCTCCGGGAGCTGGGGGCAGACCCTGCAGTGAGAGTCCTCCCCCAGCCTCCTGGGTTGCAAGCATGCTGGACAGAGGAGCAAGGGGGCCCTTTCAGGGCAGGGAGGTGCCTTCCCACCCTGCCCTTCTTCCCGTAATGCTGTGGGGAGGGCAAAGGACCGAGGGGCTGCCGGGAGGTGCCTTCCCACCCTGCAGCACTTGCAGCACATTGGGGGGTCACCTTGGAGAGTGAGAAAAGGCCGTGCATCCATTTCGGGGGCAGGATGCAGTGTTTGGTGGGGAAAGCCCCAGGCCGGGCTCCCTACCGTAGGTTCCTACTAGAGCTTTCAGGGCATTACTGACCCCAAGCTCCGGAGTCCCCATCTCGGTGAGGGGCCATCCCAGGGGCAAAGCCAGTTGAGGCCACGACAGGACCCCCGTGGGCCAGCGAGGACCCGGTGAGTCCAGGCCCGGCTCCCACCACAGCTGCACCTGCGATTGCCCCAGTGTGGCAGTCCCAGCCCTTCTGAGCCCATCCTGTCATGCCACGTCTGTCTTAGCTGTGCAGGTGAGTAGAGCCCAAACACAGGGCAGGTGGAGCATCTTGGGGGTGACAGGTGAGGTACCGAATTCCAGCCACAAAAGAAGAGAAGCTGGGGAAGGTGGGGGGTCCACAGACCTGGGGTGTGTCCGGCAGACAGGAGAGAGCAACGGGGAAAAGGCCCAGCACTTCAGCACGGGCAGGACCCACGAGGGGCCACCCACAAGGAAGAGGGTCCCAGGGTGCTGGGCAGACAGGGGGCCACAGGCAGGCCTTGTAGGAGGTCCCTGGGGCCAGGGGGGCCCATCCCGATTGGTGAACGCCAGAGGACCCCAGCCTCGATGTCAGGATGACTCAGGACACGTGAGCCCAGGTGTGGGCGGTGCGTCCCGGCAGTGCTGGAACCACACCGGACTCTCCTGGCAGTGAGCTCAAAGGCAGCAGGTTACAGTGTAGTGTCAGGTGGCAGAGAGAAGAGGGAAAACACCTGAGACAGGGGTGGCGAGCAGAGAGAGAGAGACAGAGACAGAGGGAGGGACAGACAGAGAGACAGAGGGGGTGGGGGTGGGGAGAGAGCATGATCCCTCATACATCAGTGAGAAAAACCACAACTGCCCTGTGGTCTCCACCTGTGCAGAATCACTTAACTCTGAGATTCAGATGAAAGTTATGAACTGCAGGTAGATGCATAACAGCATTCTACGCACAACTTTAGGGGGAATTCACAAGCACCCAGGCTGCCCAGGCGCCCTACCAAGTCCCCTTGACCCCAGGTAAGAAGGCACCTGGGTGGTTTGTCTCCTGTAGATGTTGTAACAAATTCCCACAAACTTACTGTGGCTAAAAAACAACACAAGTTTATCATCGCCTGGTTCTCGAGTGTCGGCGGGGCTGGTTCCCTCTGGAGGCCCTTCCTCTACCTCCACGGCCAGCACCGACTGTCGAGTCCCCACATCGCATCTCTCTGGTTCTCTCTCTCCTGCCTCGTCTTCCTTACAAGGGTTCTTTTAAGGACCCCTGTGATGACATTAGGCCCACCAGAATAATGTCCCCATCTCATTAGCAATCTTAGTTCCATCTGTGGCTTTAACTCCCCTTTGCCATGTAGGTAACATATTCACAGGCTCCAGGGATTCGGATGAGGACATCTTTGGGAGCCATTAGTCTGCCGTCCACAGTGGGTGAAGATGACAGACAGGATATGGACCACATACGTGGAAACATGGCCCAGACGTCAGGGAGCTGAATGCCAATTGTTCCTCCAACACTTGAGTTGTTTTCTCAGTGCTGACAGGAGGCAGAAAGCAAGGGGAAAGGTCACTTGGTGCACCATCCCTGTCCCTGTCCCCCCACCCCTCCACCCCAGGGCCTTTGCACAGCCTGTTTTCTCTTCCCACATACCAGCTCCTGACTTCCTCAAGGGCTGGCTCAAACCCCACCTCGAACACCATGGTTAAAACTGCAGTTCAGCCACCCCCACCTGCCCAGATTCTGCACCCCAGACCCGTCTCTGCCCTTCTTTTCCCTCTGGACTAGTCGCCACCTCAGTGTGATTCAGCATCCGTGTGTTTACATACTGACAGTCGCCCAGCTCCCCCCGGGGCAGGGTCCTGGTGCTGGAGCTGGAGGGAAAGCCCTGCAGGTACATCTGACTCAAGGCCCCTCTTGCCCAGCAAAGAGGAGGCTCACAGAGACGGGGCGCGTGTCAGGCCAGCCAGTCTGGCCTGGGACATCCACCAGGGCCCTTGCCTGGGGCCAGCTGGCCACCAGAGGCCGGGACAGGGACACCTACATGCCACAGTCTTGAGGTTCCCCTGGGTCCCAGCGGGTCACACGAGCAGGTGTGGGTCCTGGCCAGCCCCTGGTGGCACATGGCCCCTACACCTGTGGTCCATCCCACCCCAGCTCCTCCGGACAGTTACCGTGGTGCTGGAAATGAGGTCTGCGGCACGATGAGCAGCCCCCAGCTGGAGGCGGCAGGGTCAGCCTGACTCCCCAGGCAGTCGGGTCGGGGGAGAGGTGAGTGGCCCCCTTGCACGGGGGTGCAGGGGCCTGAGCCCTCAGGGAGCCCAGATGAGCAGGAGGAGGGGGCCAGGGCCGGGGTCCCACGTATGTCTCTGGGACAGCACGGGATAGAGAGGAGAAGAAAGCACCCTCGGCACAGGGCAGTCGTCAGGAAGCAGAAGAGCTGCCCACAGATGCCATGACAGCCGAATGGCTCAGAAAGTGTTTCCTGATCTTGACGTCGTTGGACGGGCCTGAACGAGCATGTCCAATGCTGCAGAGGCCGAGAGAATAAGGACACCCCTTAGGGCTTGCCAGGAGGAGGTGTTTCTGGGCGGTTCCAGGGCCTTGGCCAACCTGTGCAGGTTGCTCAGGATGGGAGGGAGTGGGCACAGAGGGTGCGGGTGTGGGGCACAGCTTAGCAGGAAGAAGGTGGGACCCGGGCACACTGGCCGGGACTCAGGGCTCCTACACGCCTCCCCTTCGACCTCTGGATGGAGCCACAGAGGAGGGCTGGCAGCTCCATCCCCAGAGTGGCCGGGGCTGCCCGGAGCCAAGACAGAGGCACTGGGCCGAGACCGCACGGCAGAGCTGCCAGTCAGCCCGAAGGACCTTCCGGAGACCCTCCGAGCGCCTGGCGTGGCCCCTCAGGGCTCCACGGTGTGTCAGAGAGTGGGCGGGGGCATGGAGGGGCCTCAGACCCCAAAGGGGGCTCTAGGCAGCAGGAAGGCATGGTCGGAGGGAGGTAGGGGCTCTGTGCCCCCTCAGAAATGGTGACCTTTCCGGCTCCTCCCCAACACCCAGTGGTCCTGGGCTGCTGCGGGAGTTCTGCTCGGCCAAGGAGAGGGAGCTCCGCGTGCCGGCACCAGGCCCCCACCTGCAGGGCCGGACTCTCAGCGCCACCTCTCCTCACCATGTCCAACAAGCCCTGCTCTTCCTCCAGACTCTCACCAAGAGACCTCCACCCCCAGGCGCTTCCCACAAAGCTTCTGCCTCACATGGAGGGAACGCTGCTGTCCACCGGACATCAGCACGTGGGGTCAAGGTCCCGGATCCTCCTGGGGCAGATCCCTGCGTCCCTGTACCGACATGAGGAGGGACACCAGCCCCGAAACCCGACAATCTGGTTCTGCAGCACCCGCGTGCCCAACCAGGAAACCCAAAGCACAAACCCAGGAGCGGGTCAGCTCCTCCCCGACTGTGGGCCGGGCACGTCTGCTGCTGTCACAGGCATCCTTTTGGCATAAAGCATCACAGTCATTAGCCACAGTAGGACCTGTGCCTGTCACCAACCCTGTTGCTTCAGGTCATCACCCTGCTTCTTCTTGTGCAGGTATTGAGCACCTGCTTCTTGTTGTGACCTGCAGGAGCCCACAGACCTGAGCCAGCACACACCTGAGGCAAGGCATGCCAGAGTTGGTGCACACCTCAGCTGGTACATGCCTGAGCCAGGGCACATCTATGTCAGCTCACACCTGAGCCAGGGCACACCTGAGCCAGCATACAGCCTCTCCCCATGTGTGCCTGACTTTTCGGTGCAGTTGGCTTGGTGTTCACTGACCGGTGTCAGCCTCTCCCAGGTCCGTTCATCTCAGCAGCTGCCTGGGAGGAATCGCAGGCTCAGGTCTGATTACATGACACCCCAGCAACACCTGTACTGGGATGAACAGTGACTCCCCAAATTCCTATCTATCCAGGACCTGTGAATGTGAACTTATTTGGAAACGGGGTCTTTGCAGGCGTGATTAAGATGAGGTCTTACTGGATCACGGTGGGCCTCGATCCAGTGATTGGTGGATGTGAGAGAGAGGAGGGAAATGTGGACAGACACTCAGAGAGAAGAAAGCCAAAGGACGGCAGAGACTGTGATGTGTCCACAGGCCGAGGACCAAGGACTGTTGGCAACACCAGAACCTGGAAGAGACAAGGAAGGGTCTCCACCTGGAGCTTTTGGAGGGAGCGTGGCCCTTGATTTTGGACTTCTGGTCTCCAGAACCATGAGAGAATAAGTGTCTGTTGTTTAAGCTCCTGGGTTGTGGTCATTTGTTCCGGCAGCTGCAGGACACTGACTCATCCTTGAGGATATGGGGCCCAGATCAGGCCCTGGGTATCTAGACACTTGCCCTGTGCTCGGGCATTTGGGGGAAGCTGAGGTCGAAGGGCAAGATCTAGGTTGACAGGAAGGAGGAGGGCAGATGCTGAAGGGGATGGGGGTGGTCCACCAGGAACGCGGGGGGTACCTCTGGTAGAGGCCGAGCGTGGGGGTAACAGCCTCACTTATAGTTCGGCCCAGTGTGAAAGGTCCCTAACGCCAGGGCCATGGGGCTCCCTTGGAGAAGCCCTGACGTGGGCCCCTAGGTAAGTGCCACACACCACTGACCAGGGCCGAAGACAGACGCGCCATTGATCCGTCAGAGGCTGGTCTTTATTCCCTGGAATGGAAACAGCCTGCAGCCCCCAAATGACCATGGCTGGCAAAGTTCATTCTTTAAAAAGCAAAAACAAAATGAAAAAACCATAGGTATTTGGCCCCATAAATTTCCATCATAAGAAACAACGTTGAGTGGTACCCAAGCCTGGTGTCGGGTATCGGCTGTGGGCCACGGCCCTCACACTTCACCCAACACACCAGCCAAATGCAGTGACTGCAGATGCTCAGAAAACAGTACGCAACGGCACACGAAGGCATTTTACGACACAGGAGTTTGCTTCCTATGAACATTTCTTTTTTAAAAAAAATATAATAACTTAGTTGGCATATTACAGCATCTCCAGTCAATCCACCAGGGAGTCCTTGGCCAGAACCAGCGTGTACCTCCCCAGCTGGAGCGCCAGGCACCCACCCCAGTGTGCGTATCCATCGCTGCGGCAGCGGTCACCCAGCGGTCACTCTGTGCCTATCTCGCAGGGGTTCAGCCCCCTCTCCTCAGCGTCCCTGTACATCCTTTGGAAATCCTTGAAGCGCGGGGCGCAGCCGAGCCAGGCCTCCCCAAAGTGCATGTGGCCGGTGAAGAGAAACTCACCGCGCCCAGGCCGGACGCCGCACTCCAGCAGCGTGGAGACGCGCCCCCGCCAGCCGCCACCCTCGCCCTCTGAGGCCGGCCGGAAGACCCTGCTCTTCTGCCGGTAGAGCCGGCTCACGTGCAGGTGGATGGCTGACTCTTGCTGCGCCGGCTCATGGGTGACATCCTGGATGGAGCCTCGGACGACTGCAGAGGAAGGAGACGGGGGGAGGGTCAGCGGTCAGCGGGGTGCTCGCCAAGCAGACAGCACGCACCAACCTCCCACCCCCAGCAGCAGAACCGGGAGCTGACCCTGAACGCTGCCTTCCAGAAATTTTCACTAAAAACCACAATCCACACACAAGAGGTTGCCTAGGGGTCGTCCCCGCCACTCACACCGTCTTGGGCAGAGATGCTTTTCTACCAAGGGCCAGCCACAGAAGTGGAGAAAAATAGAAGATATGAATCACGTCGTGCACCAAGTTTTCAAGTTAAAACAAGAAAAGTCACTGCAGTTAATACTCAAGATCTGCCGCGGTTCCGTATCAAGATCAGACAGAAACGGTGAAGCTTACAGGGGAAGAAGGTGATGGGAGGGAGAAGGGTGGAGAAGGGCAGAGCAGGCACAAGTTCGGGGACACCGCCCGGCCCCAGATCCCCTCTGTGCAGGGCCAGCGAGGAGAAAGGCTTGTACTTTCACCACCCAACTGCCCTGGGAGCCTGGGGGCGCTCAGAGCCAGGTCCCGCTGGGCCGGCTCCATCGAACTCGCCCTGAATGCTGCCACCCTTAACTCGAGAGCGTTTGTGCCAACGTCACAAGCAGGCGGCTGAGTCCCTGATCCCGACCCTGGCCCTACCAGGGCCTCCAACGCCTGCTGTGGTGCCTACAGGGGACCTGGAGGCAGGCAGGGCACTGAGGAGAGGCTAGAGCCAGGACTTAGACTCACACGCCAAGTAGGAAAATGCTCAGTATCACCTCGAATAGGAATTCCCACCTTAAATAGGAATTCCCAGCTCTCTCCCCGCCCTGCACACAGGTCCCTTCTCGGGCTGGGGTCACTCTAAGGAGCAGAAAGGAAGGCCTTTTCCTGTGACTGCAATCAGTGATGGAAGAGGGGCCAAGCCCAGGATCTTCAGCAGAGTCTCCTCCCCCCAAAGGGTTTAGTTCCCCCACGTGGCGGGAACCGCCAGCACACTCACCAAAGTCACTGGTACAGACAGCCAGGAGCACCTCAGTGTGGCTGCAAGGGCGGCACGGGGCTGTGGGGAGAGAAGAGGGTCAGGCGGGGCCAGTGCATGAACATGGGACCCTCCCGCCCACGGCATGTAGACCACACGACATCTTATAAGTCCTCTGACGTCGGGAGCAACCGTCCAGGCCCCGCACCTCTGAAACCAGGGTGCCAAGAGCAGGTGGGGCCTTGACCTCGGCTGCACAGATGGGGAAACGTCTCCAGGGGGCCCAGGCTCACCTGGGCCACCTGCAATGGCGTGAAAACGGAGGGAAAGTGCGGTTTCGCGTTCGATCACACTTAGCTCATTACTGTAGTCGTGCTGGGCAAACAGCCCCTGGGCTCATGGGTAAATGGCTCTTCGGCGCCAAAACCAACCCGAGCTGATCTGAGGCCACGTCCCTGACACCAGCCTGTCCGAGAGCCTCACTCAGCCTCTGTGGCCAGGCCCCCAAATGCCAGGGCCTCCCACTTACACTGTCTGCCCCCACAGTCCCATCTGCCACCAGGATTCCACAGGGGTCAAGGCACTGCCCAGAAGGACCAGGTGACCCTGCTAAAGGCACTGGTGGGCATGAGGGGCACGTCCACCTGCTTCAGCTGTGGGGTCCTCGTCTAACCAACAGGGCCAGGTGGTCACCTCCAAACACCTCCAGACACCTTTCACAGCAAGCCCAGTTCACAGGATCCCCTCTGAGACTCCCCAGACCTGGGTGGGGGCTGATTACTCCAGACAAACCAGTCCTTCTTGGTGGACCTCTGCCCCCCGGTACAGCTCTCACCCCACCCTTCACCTACTGCCTCAGACTGGCGTAAGGCCTCCAGAAGGGCTGGGGGGAGACAGAAACCTCGAGGCTCTGGGGACTCCCCAGGACTGTGGCACTCCTAACTCAGCAGTGGATCTGGGGAGACACAAGTTTATTATTTGGCTCTGATGTTGCACGTTTCCTCACCTATTTCTAGTTTCTAGGGTTGGGCCCAAATTCCCTAACAACAGAAATGTTAGGCGTGAACTCTCACTAGGACAAGTTGCCCTCTGCCTTTTCATGTACTGAAGGCCCCGCAAAGTCCCCAGGATTGGCACTCACTGGGCCTGGATGAACCTACAACTGTCAGCACACCTGGCCAGCTGCCCTCGAAGCCCCTGAACCGGGCTGAGTTGTCACCTGCCCAGGGGCTGCAGTGACTCGGGGGCCCTCGAGGAGACAGGGAGATGCACAGGGAACAGGAGGGGCCTCCGGGACCTGGAATATGTGTGGGGGCAACAGAGACCCTGGAGTCTCTGGTGTCCTGGGACCCCTTGGGGATGGACATGAGCGTCCGGAGCACCAGCCCTCCCGTCCTGCCCCCAGGCGGGGGTAGCTGTACATGCCCCAGTCTAGTCCAGCGAGGGCATGACTCACGGGCGCTTCTGTTACGTTATCAGGAAAAAGGAGAAGCCGCAGAACAAGAACAGCCTGTCGGACGCCTCTGGAGCATCTGAGAGCACGGAGCACCTCCCTCCCCAGCTCCAAATCCGGAGCCTTCTGCCCACCTGTGGCTTTTTGTCACGAGTGTGGACCCCCAGCCTCAAGGCCTTTCGTAAAAAAGAGGGTGGCCAACTGGGGGTCCCCCACCTCTAACCCGTTGGGGGCCTGCTGCCCACGCTGGGCCTGACAGAGACCCCAGAGTGAAGAAAAGGGGGAGCACAGCCCCGCAGACATCGGGGAGCCTCACATCCCACAAGAGGCGGCGTTTTATTCCAGCCTGTGTGCCGAGGGGCCCGCGGCAGTGGGGAGACTTCCCGTCCTGGCGGCTCCCCCAGTGCCCACCGGGTCAGAGGCCCCCGCCTGGGGCCTCGGAACCAGGCCACGCGAACTCCAAGCGCGGGTGAACGGGAGGCAAGGTCCACACAAGCTCTTTAGAAGCTGAGACAGGCCCAGGCCACAGACCGTGGTCGAAACCCAGGCCTGGGTGTGTATGATTACCAAGCCCTGGAGCCTCGAGCTCTCTGTGGGTTTAGGCCCCGGGACCTCAGCTGACCGCTGGGGAGAAAGGTGGCATGAGCTTGTCCTGGGCTCCCTGCCCTGACTCGCGCCCAGTCCCACGCAGGATGTACGAGGACCCTGGTGGGCCTGGGGGCCGGCAGTCAGCAGCCTGCTGACCCTCCCACCCAAAGCTTCAGCGAGCCCGTGCCGTTGACAGCTGAGCTAACAAAGGCCCCCACAAGACTCTCTCATGACTCTGAGCTTTGTGAAGTGTAGGCACCTTTGTGGAGACGCCAAGAGGAGCAATCTGGAAACAATTATTAATCGGAGTTAGGCTCGTGGAGGCCGAGTGGAATGCGCTGGTTTCTGACACATCGAATCTTGTTTCCTTGTGGGGAAGATGGGGAGGGGCGGCCCAGGGGCCGGGTGGAATTCTGGCCTGTGGTTCTTGGAAAGGGGAGGGCTGGGATGTGGACGTTGGGAAGATTACTCTGGAATATGCATAAAATGAACTGAATGAAGTAGGAAAAAACAGCATCAGGGAGACCAGCTGGGGGCTGCAGCAGGGATGCAGGTGAGAGCGGCAGGTACAGGTGGGGAGGGCGGCACCCCTCTGTCAGGCTCTGGGTAGCCCGATGCCCAGGAGAAGTCTGTAGATGGTGGGATGCTGGTCTGGCGGGTGAGACTGCCCAGGTAAGGATGACTGGGGTGGACACGATGTGTGAGACACCCTCTGGGGTCTTCAGTGCAGCTGCGACAGGTGGTGAATGAAGCATTTTAACAGGGAGGGGAGGAAAGGGAGCAACGCTGCCAGAATGTGAGCGGTATTCGCTGAGCAGACGAGCCTCCTCTGATCATGACAACCCTGCACTCACCCCAACTCCAGGCCACAGGCTGACATCGCCCCAGAGGACCCTGTGGGACCTGGCCGGGGCTGGTCGCCACCTGTGAAACCCCCTCTCCCACGTGCGGGCACAGGGAACGCTCAGCCTCACCAGCTCTCTCGCCCGCACCCACTCCCTTCCCTCCCTCTTCCTGGTGAGGAAGCCAGAGGAGTCACACCTTCCACCCCCAGAGTCCAGAGCTGGGTAAGATGCAAAGTAATTTTACAGTGATTACAGGGGCTGGAAAAGCACTGGTGCAGGAGTCTAAACGAACCTTAGGGAAAAAATTAAGTTCTCTCCTATACTGTTTCCAGGAAATAATGAAGTTTCTTTTCACTTCTGAACGTTGCTGTTTATGCCCCACGGCCCATCAAGCCCGCCCCTAAACTCTAAGGTGCCCAAGTGGGATCCCAGCAGGGGTCTGCGCCTCCCAGGCCCCCCAAAGGGACCATTCGCCCCTGGCTCATCAACAGAGCGGTTTCAAAGGGGATGGCGAGATGAAGCACGTCAGAAACTGTGGGACCCAGGCCACCCCACCCGGCGCCCATGAGCGGCGATGGGAGTCACTTCTGGGTCTTCACGGCCGGCACAGGGGCAAGTCCTCTTGCCCCCACACCCCTCCAGCTGTGGGTCTAAAACACCACTGTCCCCCCCGCCACCTCACCTCCATGCCGGGGGCCTGCTCTGGGTGGGCATTGCACAGAGCCCAAACCCCAGAGCATGGATGTGAGCCCCTGCTTCTCAGCCCCTAAGTAGTAAAAGAACATGCTGGAATCCAGGGCCCCCTTGAGCTGCCCCAGGAGAACCACAGAGACGGGGTCTGCATCTGTCCCCTAGAACCAGACCGAGTAACAACCCCGCCCTCCCTCTTTGGCCACCCTAACGCGTCCCCCAGCCCACTGGGCAATGGGGGTCCTGGTGGTGCCTGTTTCCCCAAGTGTGCTGGGACCCTGGGGAGGATGGTCCAGACAGCCTGGCCAGGTCCACAGTGAGGCTTCAGCACACAGTCCAGGTGTGGCCTGGAGCTTCTTCCATTAGTGAGTTGCATCTGGCCACTTGCCTGCCTTTTGTATCCTGCCAGATTTTTCCAGCGCCAGAGGAAGGAGTGCCGTGTTACTCAGGTGCCTGGCGAGGCCCTCGGAGGAGGGGGAGGGCGGGGGAGCAGGTCTTCCCCTTCCTGCCACGTGACAGCCAAATCCCGAGTCCCCGGGGGGCTGAAGTCCCCCTGCCACCCGCCTGCCCCTCTGTATCTGCCTGCCTCTCCGTCCTGGCCTCTTCTTGGCTGTTGGCGAGTCCCAGTCCATACGAGGAAGCTGATTATGCAACATGATGGACACGAGGCTGACATGCTCACCATAAACACTCCCTGTGGAACCGCCCAGAGCTGCGGCAGGTGAGCAAGGCTCATGCACACCTCTCCTTCGGGATGCCAGCCCGCGGTGCCTCTTTAATTTCATATCAGCACAAACTGGAACTCGTGATTCAGCAGCGAGGGAGAAGGCTCATCCACCTCCCCAGCAGGTCAGGTCACGGGCACGTGCTCACCTCCACGGCACACACACTGGGGCTTCGGCCCCACTGGTGTCTCCCCGCTGCAGCCAAGGCCAGACAGGAGAGCGCTGCCATCTGAGAGCCCGCCTGGTCCGGGCGAGGTCACGGATGCCAGATGGCCGGCACCAGCATTCCACATTACGTACCCATTCCTTTGGCATTAAAAGCTTAGGGGCCCATCCCTGGGGAGAAGGGATGCACCAGCCTCCCGGATCCCTGCTGCCCTTGTTTCCTTCAGGACAGAGAAGTGCTGGGTCTGCAGCTCCCACACCCTAGGAGCCTTTTGCATCCCCATCTCACGTTCTGACAGTCACTGTATCTGTGCTGCCCCAGGCCAGCACCCCGGCCACTGGGCAGATGGACAATCACACCCCACCATCCTCAGGGTCTCCGGCATCCCCGTGAGCCCCAGATTTAAAGAGGCACCCCAGGGCCAGGCAGGCATATGTCTGGGGGATCAAGGGCACCCCAGCAGCCCAACACCCAGCCACAGCCACGTGTCCCGTGTGGTGCCCCGGCCAGACGACCCACCCCATCACACGGGGCCTTCTCCCTGCGACCCCACGGGCCTCTCCCAAACCCACTCACTGCCCTAGCCTGGAAACGTAGACCTGGGGTCTGGGGGAGCACAGACCCTGCCCCCAGGGAGGGGGAAAGAAACAAAGTCTCAGGTCCCTAGGGCTGAGCCACAGGCTCTGAGTCACCCCGGGTCGTGACCCCACTGTGGATTTTCCACCAGAGACGCCGGTCTGTGCCAACGGGAGTACTCAGGGGGCAGCACGGAAAGCACCTTATGCCGTGGCCTCCAAGAACCTGGTGGCGGCCTCCCAGCAAAGTGGAACAAAGCCCCAGCGGGACAGAGCATGTGACCAGCAGCCGAATGGCCTCAACCCGTCAACATTTTAATCAGTAAAAGGAATGTTAGCAAGTCCCTAATATCTGCCCCATCAGCCAACGCTCACCATGGCCAGAGACATCGAATTTGGTGACCGGGTTTCTCCAGATTTTGTTTTTATCGCGAGTTTATCTCTAGCGTCCCCCCACCACCCCCGCCAACGATCACTCGCTGGTGATCAAGATAAAGGCTGTTGTGGTTAAAGTTTTATTCAAGTCCTGGGGTTTATGGCAGCTTTCAGCATTCCTGATGGGGTCCTACCCAGGCAGGCACAGGGGCAGGGGGGGAGGGGTCCTACCTGGGCAGTCAGGCCCTGGGGGGAGGGGTCCTACCTGGGCAGTCAGGCCCTGGGGAGAGGGGTCCTACCTGGGCAGTCATACATTGAAGCTCTGTAACAGACCAGTTTAGTTTGAGAGAGGTTTAAGGTTTTGAAAACTCATCTGAGCCAAGAACACAGAACAATAAGATGTAGATTCCCACTCAGGAGAAAGTCTGCATTTCAAATCCTAGTAGGTCTGGTTTTTTCCAATGGAAGATTTTATTCACTAAATTATATTATTTGGGGGGGGCTGGCCTAGCCCTCAAACCAGGTGTTTCCACCTCAGCACTGCTGACACTTGGGGATAAGTCACTCTTCGTGTTGGGGTGTCCTGTGCTGATGCCTGGGGCCAGGTCATTCTCTGTGGTGGGGCTGCCCTATGCACTATGGGGTGTGGGCAGCATCCCTGCCTCGCCTCCAACACTCAATGCCATAGCGCCCCCCACTGACCACCATCCTGGCTGGTCACCGCAGGAACAGCCTTCCTGGAACCTGCCCCCACCACTACCCAAGCTCACACCTTCCCCTTGGGAGGCATCTTCCTCCCAACTAGTTCTGGAATTGAAGCAGATGGTGCACCTGAGCCCCGCTGACCCCCGCCCCATGCGCTCGGACCCCACGAGGTCATCTGTGCCTTGGAGCAAGGGTTGCACCTGGCCTGGTTGTCCCTATCTAAAAGACAGGACCCTGAGTTTTCCCTGTGTGAGAGCTCTTGGGACCACACACTTCTCTCTGCCCACAGAACTTTCCAGAGACCAACACTGTCTTCCACACAGGGCCCCACAAAGCTGTCTGCTGGCCTCAAAAAAAGGGAAGGAAAATCTAAAGCCAACTCACCGGCCCTCGGCCACCCAGAGACTCCCTCCGGTACCTCACCTGAGGTTCCCAGGTCATCAGAGCCACTCAGCTGCCCTGCATGGCATGGTGCCGGTGCCCTCACCGACACCCACAGATAAAACGGCTTGTGAACCTGGGAATGGTTCACGATTCAGGACATCCCAGCTCTGCATGGCTCTGGAACATGAATCAGACTCAACTTCCACCCAAAACTCAATGTTTCAGGGACTGCAGCCGACGCCAAAAACACTCGGCCAACTCGTGTGTCAGAAGAGATTCTGGGGCAGTTTGGATGGTAACAGCACCCATTTCAAATCTCAGTCAAAACTGGTCCAGGGGAGAAGAGCATATTATGGGCCAGGACCGTGTCACAGCTCTGCTCTGACCTGTGGCCATCGTCCCAAGTCCAAACTGCCCACAGCACTAACGGGGCACCTGCTCCCGGGAGGGCCCCTCGGCCGCCCTCAGGCAGACCTGCCAGGCCTGAAGCACGGACTCGAGCAGCATGTTCAGGGGCTGTGCTGAGGTGGGGGTGGGAGATGATCGGGGGGTCTGGGAGACGAGAGAGGACCCCTGAGGCCACCACCCCACCCTGGGCACCACACTCACCGGACAGGGTGTGCAGGTCTGGCCCCGCATGCCGGCTGGTCAGCTCGTACTGGAAGCCCGTGGTCCTCCTGCTGATGTCCTGCTGGGGTGTCGCCTCCACGAACAGGCCGCCCTGCTCGAAGCTGAAGCACGGGGCCTGGCCGGGCCCGAGGTCCCCGTCCCGCACCAGCAGTTTCAGTTCTCCAGTCTTTTCCAAATAAATATTGGCCCCGGACGAGCCCCTGAGGGGCTTGATGCACAGAGTCAGGTGCCGGGAGGGCGAGAAGGTGTTGGGCCGCAGGTTCACGATGAGCGCACCGGTCGGGTACATCCACTCGACAGTGCCCGCGGAGCAGCGCAGGTACACCTGCTCTACCTCCTTCCTGTGGGCCTCGTGTGTCAGTCCGCTGTGGAGGGGGAGATTCGTCAGCCGGGAGACGCCTGCTCGGGTGTCCGAGCACCCCTCACCCACAGGCAGGCTGGCACCGTCTCCACCCTGCAGCTCAGGGCCCACCTCCAGGGAGGGGTGGCCACACGGCCTCCCCCGCCCAGTTCCTTCCAGCGCACCGGCTCCGAGCGCTCTGGTAAGTGTGGGAGCTTCTGGCTCCCAGACCCTCTCGCCACCTGGACACTCTGTTGGCCTCTGAGCCCGTGTCCTTGGGAAACCCCTGAACAGGGGCAGTGATGGGTGCAGTGGAGGTGAGAACCAAGGAAAAGACGGCTCTTCCAAAAAATAAACAGGGAAACACCAGTGGGACTTTGGCACCAACCCAAGTTCCAGATAAGCAAATGAGGGCCAGGAAATGTTGGTAGATTCCCACTGAGTGTGAAGACCAAGGAGCAGATTCAAGTTACAGGAGGCATGCTGGAATGCAATGCACATATAATAAATAATGCACTCCAGGGAGCAGCTTTTAAACGAACTGGGAATGTTAGCAATTTGTGGGGGGCTGTGTAGGTTGTTGGTGAGTTTTGTCTTCAGGATGCCCGTTAGGCACAGTGTTCATATTTTCCTTAAGGTGATGATGTGACTGCTTTTTCATTCATTTGCAAACCTGAAGACCCTGCATTGCCAATAGTATTTTTTTCAAAGCAAACACAAATAGCATCAAAGCAAGACACAAAAGTAAAGTAAAGGTCCTCCACAGGGAGACACGGGAAGGAATTGTGGAAAAGCAAAGGGAGGGGGACACAAAAGGACCGCAGATAACCTGTCTTCCCAATGGGGACTGTTGGGGAGCCCAGTGGGTTTCACTCCTAATAAAAAGCAAACAGGAAAAAATGAAGTGTGCTATGCTCTTGGGGAGGCAGGTCTTGAGTAAGTCATAACATTATGTTTTCGAGAAATTGAAACCATCAAAAACGTTCAAGTTTCCCCTACTCAAAACTGTAATGTAAATGTCAGCTTGTGGTAACGGTTACGTCATAAACACCAAGCAGCCCGGGAACTCAACGGTGACTTCAACTAAGTGTTTTATTACATGAAATTTGGTTCTGATCAGATCTCAGACAGGTTCACCCACATTCTTAGGATTTTTATGTGAAATAAACAATACTATATTCAGAGCGCTGGCCTGAGTGAGTTACCAGAAACCTTTTCTGCAGAGGAGAAAACACATAACATATGGTTTGCATTTACTGTTGGTGACTCATGCTCCAGGCCCCGAAAAGCCTCACTTTTCATGCAACGGCCAGCTGCAGGCTAGGGATGCACAGTCACCCTGCAGACCACATCAGAAGGAGGTGTCAAGGAGGTGGACTCCCTCCTCACTCCACTCCCCACCCCCAAGGCCCTGGGTCATGAGCAGCCTGGCCTCAGACGTCGAGCAGGGCTGCACACACAGAACAGACTTACAAATTACAGTCACATAAAACTCACACAAGCTCATCTGACACATAGGAGGGGATGGGCATAATTATAGTGCTGGGTGACAAAATTAGACTAAATGGTGTGTGGTTGCCACAGATGACTATAATCAGCTCTGCGCTTACGCAGCCAAACAAACTTTATCACAGTGTCCCTCCTCTCCTGGCTCCAGCCTTGAGGGGCAGCTGGACACTTGCGCCATGCCCAGACACCAATCCTCAACTCTCTCTCCCACAAAAACCACCCCTTCCAAGGCTTCGCTTCCCTCTTGGTGGGAAGAGGGGGACCTAGGGGTTTAGGGAGTGGAGACCTCACACCAGAGGCTGTGGGTACCTCTCACGAGGTTGCCTTAACCCCAACAGTGGAGGGTGAAATGGGGAGGCCCACCCTCCACCCGCGTCTTGGCAGGCGCAGAGGGGGCCCTCGTGAGGACAGATGGCCAGCCCATGCTGCCCAGGGGGAGGCGGACCCGAGGCTGGGGGCTGCCATCCACCAGCCTGCGCACATGACCACGTGCACCCATTTACTCACACGTCACTCGCCTAAAAGGGGACTAGGAACAAAACGACAGTGGACACGTGAGAAATAAAGCGCCCATCACTTCACCCTCTAACAGGTCCAGCCCGTCCCCGGAGCCTGCACGGGCCCTGCTCTGCCTCCTCTCTCTCATTCTGCTAAAACATCAGGACCAACAAGACTCTCACTAAGCACCCAACACAGGAGTGTCCACACTCTCATCAGAGCAGCAGCTCCATTCAGACAGACATCTGCTCAACAAAAGTGCTGGAGATGCAAAAACACACCACATCAGTCATGGTCACTGATGATGGTATGTTACAATCTTCACATGACATGCAGGTGACATCCTAACTAAGAAAAATGAAATAACTGCTTTCTGATGTTATGACAGAGCTATAGGATGCAGAAAAAAACTGTGGTTCTATTCAACCTTAGGAAACTGAGAAGACTGATTTGATCTTGGATTATTTAAACTGAATTAATGCGTTTAAAAAAAGGCGGGAAGTGTCCCCCCCCCCCCCCAGGAGGACACATCTGTGGAGCACCTTTATGGGAAAGATGGCAAATTCCAAGTCGCTATGGGGACTGTCTGACAGGGTCAGTGTGGTGGCAGCAGAGCCCACACCACTCACAACCATAGCCTGGCTCAAACTCTGAGTCACCAGAAGGAAGTGATGGTCTCTTTTTGAATAAAGTCAGGAAGAGCTTCTGATCAAGGGCGAAACCAATAGGCGCTCCTGCCTGGAGTTACTTTTCATTTCCCCACCTTGCAGGAGAGATAGCCCAGGTGTGACATAACCGGCAATGCCCAGCCCATCGCAGTAGGAAAGTTCACGGTCCACCTTTATGACCAGGGCCTAATAAAGATAGGGCACGTCCTGCCCCTGCACAGGGAGAAGGATTTCAAAACCTTCTACTTAATTGCTTGGAAACACCCAGAAACGCATTAGGCCTGTCAAATGTGAGTGGCCAGTGTCATAAAAAACAAATCCCTTCCTATCAGGGGATCAGAATCCACCCGGCACATCAGGGTTTGCACCACCCTGTGCTGTCTTTAGAAGGGCTCATAAAAAGTCGTAAATGCTATAGAGTCAGCAGGCAAACCAGCGCACCAGAGTAAGAATCTGTCAGCTGATTTGTGAAAAAAAACGATAACTGGGGGCAGCAATTACAATGCAAGGGGGGCTTACGCTCCAGGAATGTGACCTGGCCCTGTCTCTGCTCCAGATCCCGCCCACAGCTCCTACAGCCACTGCAGCCGCCCTTGGCCGGGTTCTGCCTTTGGGTTGAATGGAGGACACTGGAGGGTGTCCAAGTCCAGGGGTCCATTAGCAATGATGGAGGAAGAGGGGCCGCAGGTAAGTGGCCCTTCTTCTCCCAGTAGATAAAGAGGATGCACAGGAACAGGAAGGGGAAGGGATTCCTCTACCCACTGCAAACACCTGCGTGGTCCAGGAGCAGGTTGGCCCCCTGACCAGCCCTCGCTCACAGCTCCCTCTGGGCTCCAGGGGAGGCATCCTCTTCCAGGCACATGGTCCTCCAAGAATGTGAAAAGGATGTCAGCTCCTCCTCTGGAAACTCAAGCTCACAGGGTGGGACTGGGTTTCTGTTTTTGATCTGCTGAAGCAGGACACCCCAAGGCCTCAGTTTGGGGATGCACTGATTCATCCAGCAGAGGCTGCAAAGCAGGGAGTTTAATTACCAGCGAGGGGGAGAGGGCAGCCCCAGAAGAGTGTGTCAGAGTCAGAGGCTCCCCGCCAGCTCTGTGCTGGCGCCAGCATTCTCCAGGCCAACCCTCCCCCAGAGCTCCGATCTGCCACTCAGGGCTCCAGTCTCAGCTCTACCACCCCTGCTGTGGTGTGAGCTGGGAGAACTTCTGCAGCAGGGAGGGTGGGCAACACCAGCCCAAGCTCAGTAGCCCAGGACCTTCACTCTAGAAGGCTGGGAAGCGGAGAGAAGGGAGCAGGGTAATTGCCAGTTTCCACAGAGAACTGGGACTGTACGTATCCAAGAGGACCAGCAACTGCCCTGCTGACGCAGAACCCAGCACAGTGGCACAACACTTACCTTCTCGGAAAAAACTGTCTTCACTCAAAATAACCCCGTGACACCCCACAGCATGAGGTGTCTGCCAGCGGGAGTCTTCCCATCAGAAGTCAGGGACTTAGGGGCCCAGCACGGTGGGACACAGGGACACACCCAGATCTAAGGGCAGCACCGGCCCATAGCGTTTTCGGAGAAGAAGACGCTAGTATCTCCCTCTGCGAACTCCTGAATCCGCAACTGCGGAAGCCCAAGCAGTCTTCTCCGACAGCGAGGTGCCTGGCTCGGGGCCGGCGCCCTGGCGGACGGAGGTTCTCTGCGCCCTCACCCCCACCCCCGCCCACGCTTGTGACTTGCCTGTCACACTGCAGTTTTTTAAAAAAGTCCTCGGCTGCCTGCCTTGGCAGAGGGCGTGAAGGGGGGTCGCAGAGCACAGCGCGCGCTGCCAAGGGCGGCCTGACCTTCACGGGCCGGGGCGGGGGGCTCCGCCAGGCCCCGAACTCGCCCCGCGCAAGGTGCCCGCCCGCGGGTCTCCGCCCGCACCGACGTGGTCAGTGCGCGGTTAGCGCCAGGGCCCCCGCTCCGACCACCGGAGCCGCCGCTCCCTCCTGCGGACCCGTCCGTCCCTTCCCGCTCGGCCCTGAGCGCAGGCCCGGCTCCTCCCGGCCCGGGGCGCGCAACTCCTCGCCGAGGGCAGAGCCCGGGAAGGGCCAGAAGGCCGACCCCCGCCTGCCCCCAGTGAGGGGTCGCGGGGTCCGGGCTGCGGCTCTCGGGGAACCAAGTGGGGAGCGGCGCGGTCCGGCGCGGGGCGAGCGGGCTGCTGGAGCCGACTGACACCACCGCGCTGCAGGCGCGCCTCCCCCTGGGCGTCCGCCGGGCCAGGGGACCGGGACGCCGCGGGCTCTTTTGTTCTAAAACCGGGGGCGGGGGAGGGCGGGGACGGCACTCAGCCTGGAGAGCGGGCCCCCGAGCCCCCGCGCGCTCGGCCCGCGGGGAGGGGAGTGGACCCAAGGGCTGGGGTCGCGCCGCGCGAACTCACCTCCCCTTCCAGCTGCACAAGTCGCTCGAGTACTGCGCGCCCGCGCCGCCCAGCAACACGGCCAGCAGCAGCAGCAGCGGCGGCGGCCCAGGGCCCGGGGCGGGGGGCCTCGGCCACAGCTGCCCCGTGCGCCCCCCGGCCGCCCGCGCCGCGCCCCGCATGCTCTGGCTCCGGCTCGGCCGCCGGCCCCGCGTCCGCGCCCACCGAGCAGACCCTCGACCCGGCGCTGCCAAGCGGCCGGGCTTCGAGTCCAGGAGGTCAGGTCGTGCGCCCCCCGCGCCCCCAGGGCGGCTGCCCGCCCATCCCCGCCGGAGCCGGGGCCGCCCGAGCCCCTGGAGCCGCTGGAGCAGGGCGCGGATGTCCGCGCCCGCCGCCGCCGCCTGAGCCTCTGAAGTCTGCAAGTCCGCGGTCCCGGTCGCTGCTCAGCTGGGGGGCGGCGCCCGCCCGGCCGCTCCGCCCCGCGCGCCGGAACTCCGCCCAGTGCGCCTGTGCCCCGCGCCCAGGGAGCCCGGCTGGACGCGGCGGATACCGGAGTCAGCGGCGCGGCGGGGACACTAAGCGTCGGGGGGCGTGTGGCCCGAGGGTGGGACAAGCTAGGACGCCGCGGAGAGGAGAGGGCCCGTGAGGGACTGGGAGAAGGGTCCGGGAGAGAAGAACCAGGCTGGAAAGTGAAGTTTCGAGCGGGAGGGGGACGGGCAGCACCGCGTCCCCAGCCTGTACGATGCGGGGGCGGGGTAGAAACCCGAGACCCCAAGTACGTGCAGACCCAGGCCGGGCGCCTGGCCAGCAGGTCCGTCCAGCAGTGGTGGTGCTGTGGCCCCGTCGTGCAGACTGAGTCTGGAATGGCCTCTGGGCTGTAGCAGGGGCACCTGGCCGTGCCACTGCTGTGTGACCAGCCTGAGGCCGTCAGAGATGTTCCTGGCACCCACCCTCCACAGGATTTGAGTGTGCTTTGCGGAAGTTCAGACTCTGTCCCTTTCTGCGGCCCGCGGGGGAGGGGAGGACCAACTGTGGCTGCTGATGTGGCTGACTCACTGTTGAGTGTGCGGTGGACCCTGGAACACCCATTCCACAGAAAGGCTCTGAATTTGCCTGTCGAGGCCACCGCTCCTGTGCATCACTGCTGTGCTCCCTGCTGGTCCCCACTGTCCCTGCTCCAGAGTTAGTCTAGCACCCGATTCACCAGCTTTGCTCTTGATTCTTCGTGGTGGGGACCCTCTTGTGCATTGTAGGAGTTTAGCAGCATTTGGGCAGTGGCTGTCCCCCCATCCCCAGGCTTGGCAACCTGAACTGTCCCCAGATACTGCCAAATGCCCCCTGGGTGCCGAATTTCCCTGAGGTCCCTGTTCTAGTGGGACCCAGCCTGGTGAGTGCAGCGTGATGAGAGTGGCTGCCTTCACCAGGTGGTCACTGGGGCCCCCAGGTACCTGACATCCAGTGGGAGAGACAGGGGGACATAGGCAACCCAGAGGACACTGGCCTCTGGAAGGATGATAAGGGTCTGCCAGGCGGAGGGAGGGAGCTGTGGCACTCCAGGCAGCCACCCCTGGGATCACAAAAGCAGGTTTTTCTGCTTCCTCAGACTCTGGTGTTGGTCTGAGCGAGCTCCAGAGCCTGAAACAACATCAAATGGTGGAGAAATCTGACCTTGTTTTAGCATTTCTTTTCCAGGCAAGATATATTTCAGGAGGAATTTCGAGTGACCTGCGGGGGAGGGGAGTGACTTCCTGTGCCTATTATTTTCATGTTGCACCCTTTCATCTGGTTAGAGGTTTGGAAGTCTAATTTGGTTGTAGGGATGGAATCATCACCCTATGGAGAAGCCAGAGTCTGCAGGTCCAAAACAGATGGGGCTGAGAGACAGCCGCTCTCAGGAGTGCTGGGGCAACAGTGGGGGCGTCGTTCCACCTTGAAGGGGGTTACAACTGAAGAATCTGTTAGGGCAGCCCTGGAACAGTGCAGGTCAACCCACCCAGCCAAAGCCCGGAGCAAAGACCCTGCCTGGTCAAAAACAGTGATGTCATCCCAAGACCCAAAGTCAGCTTTGAGGCTAGAGGACTACACATGTGCATTCTGGGCTTGGGGGCCTGCTGTACCCCACACCACACCCCTGTTGCTGCAGGTACCAGGGTGCAGAACTGCTTTGAGAAGTGAGCCAACTGAAACTGCCACCCAGGCCGCTGGGGAGAGGGGTCTACTCGTTGGAATCTGGAAGCTGCAACCACCTCTGTGCCCACCGAGCCTGTCTACACAGCAGCACTTCTCACCTCGGGCACTGCAGGTGATAAAGAAATGCTTTATAAGCAGCCTGGCTGGGCACATCCACCCAAGAAGGACCCTGTGGCTGGTCAGGGTCCAGGTCTTCACACAGAGGAAGAGGCGGGGCAGCTTTAGGGCCCTTTCATATTACAAACGCGGAGTCAGTGCTACCAGCCTGAGTGACCTGCTCAGGGTTTTAGAATCCTGTAGTGACCGCTGGACCAAAGGGGAGAGCCGTCTCTGGGGTGACACGGAGCTCGTTCCCATCCCAGGCTCAGGGCTGTAACCTAGAAGGCTGCCAAACCACCTCTGCCCGGGTCCATTTCCCTAAAACAAGCTCAGCACGATGGTGCATGGAGCACTGACAGAGCAACGACACAGGAGCGAACGCTGCAGTCTTCAGTTGATTTATGTCGGTATTGGCTCATTGATTATAGCACCTGTGCACACTAATTGGAGATGCCAGTAAGAGAGGAATCTGGGGCAGGGGAGGGACTACATGGGAACCCTCTCTACTACCTGCTCAGTTTTCTGTAAACCTAAAAATTAAGACTATTAATTAAAAGTTCTGGCAGTCTTCTTGGAAGAATCTGATAGGATCTTGGGACCATCAGACCTAAGTCTCTGTGACAGGCCCTCACTTCTGGAGACACAGGTGCCTCTGGATTCCTGGAGGGTCCCTGAAGCAGGAATTTCCAGATTTCCCTCCTCCTGACAAGCGCCAGCCTCAGGGTGCGGCCGCAGCAGCAGAACTGGTTCCTCATATCGGCGCTCAGCTCTGGGGCTCCTGGCGCCTCTTCGCCCAGCAAGGTGGGGCTGATGAGCCCTCCTGGCCATGCAGAGCCACTTCCTGGTGCTCGTGGTGTCAGCTCTTGTGGGGGCATATGATGTTTGGGGCTGAGGCAGCAGGATGAGATGGGTCATGTCTGTCTGAGGCCACCCAGTGACCGCCTGCCCCGCTTCACGCCCTAGGGCTTGTCAGGGACAGGGAAACCCTGCAGGATCCCAGGCAGTCGGAGAACCTTGGGGTGTGTTAGTCCGTGGATGGCTGGGGGGGGGCACTTCCCAGTGAGGCTTACTGCCAGTTAAACCCAGGAAGGGGCCACAGCAGTGTCCCCACCCATAGTGGTAAAGGAGATGGGCGTCATGGTGTCCGAGAGAAGCTGGGCACCTCCCAGCATTCACAGTCCCCCCAACACCAGAATGCCCGCTGGAAGGCAGGGTGCAGGACCAGACCCACTGGGGTCAGATGGCAAAGCTGCCTGTCCCCACACCTGGGTGACAGCCCCACCGTCCTGCCCGAGTACCTTCCACAGCCCCAGGAAGCCAGAGGAATGGGGCACAGGCGGCAGAGGGATGGGGCTCAGTGATGACAGAGGCCACACAGCACAGCTCAGCGTACCCTTGAGGTGCACGCTCTGGGCCTCGCCTCTGCTGCGTATGGCGGGGCGGTGATGTGGGCGATTCCCACAGAGCTGCCTGCCCCACCCCATAGGTCCATGCAGAGCGCATAGTGAGGGAGTCCGTGGCCCAAACTCAGGTCAGTATCAACCTTCACTTGTGATCTGTTCATTCACTCAAGAAATGTTTCCCTGATACCTCCTGGGCACGTCTCTGTGGGGCGTTCCAGGGGTGCAGCCCCTGACTGGGGCCAGCCCGAGAGGCAGCAGTGGTGGCCTTCAGTGAGACCATGACCCATGGTTACGGCCGGACAACTGCAGCTCCCAAGCGTGCAGCAGGTGACCGTGCTGCCATCTCTCCAGTCGTTCTTTTTTTTTTTTTTCTTTTAACATCTTTATTGGAGTATAATTGCTTTACCATGTTGTGTTAGTTTCTGCTGTATAACAAAGTAAATCAGTTATATGTATACATATATCCCTATATCCCCTCCCTCTTGCGTCTCCCTCCCACCCTCCCTATCTCACCCCTCTAGGTGGTCACAAAGCACCGAGCTGATCAGTTGATCTCCCTGTGCTATGCAGCTGCTTCCCACTAGTTATCTGTTTTCCATTTGGTAGTTTATATATGTCCACGCCACTCTCTCACTTTGTCCCAGCTTACCCTTCCCCCTCCCTGTGTCCTCAAGTCGTCTTTATTCCTGTCCTGCCCCTAGGTTCATCAGAACCTTTTTTTCTTTTTTTTAGATTCCATATCTAACAATATGGTATTTGTTTTCCTCTTGCGGACTTACTTCACTCTGTAAGACAGTCCAGTCGTTCTTTTAAGTGTGGCAGGGACCCACCACCCGAGGAAGGAGGCTCGCTGGGGTGGGGTCTGTGGGGCTGGACACCCTTTCCCAGCCTCTGAACATCGGGGTGTGGCAGACCCTGTGGGTGATGGGTGGACCTAGGATCTGACATGGCCGTCTTTCTGGTCTGGTTCACACGGGCAGTGGGGTCAGGGTCTGTTTCTGAGTCTCATTACCTGCAAAGTGGGTGGGGTCTCGATTCTCAGGGAGATGTAGGGGGTGTGACATCATCACACAAAGCCTCATGTCAGGTGGGTGTGGTAACCTTGGCTCAGCACAGATGTTGATTCGGGGGTCAAGGTGCCATCTGACTCTCAGCAGGACTCGGGACCCTGTGGGGGGCACCTTCCTCCCAGCCCCCTCCCCACCACTCTCCCCAGAGCATGAGTTCTTTGAGACACTAACACAGCCCAGTCGCTGTAAATGCTTTCATTTTTTGCCCAGTCTTGAGGTCTTCAAATGTGTATTGATGGTCATTCTCTTATTCAAAATGTCCAGTCACCTGAATCTGCTCATTGAAGAATCAACTTCCTCCCCTAGAAACTAGACACTTCCAGAAAAACGTTAAAAGTTTTCCCAGACATGTCCAGGAAATTCTCTCTTTGGCATTCAAAAAATATTTTAGAGTACTTGCCAAATCACGTACGTGGGTCACGTGAAAACACCCAGACCCCCACCTGCTGAGGGAGGTCCGCACATGGACCCAGCACCTTCCCTGCTCAGCCCCCGGGCCTCCATCATTTCTGCCACTCTGTTTCCTCCTTCGAGGTCATTTTTGCTGACCTCCTCATAGGGACATAATTATTGTAATCGTGGTGAAATGATGGATCACGAGCAAATGCTTGTAATTTAACATTTAGCAACTGCAGCCGGCAACATGTAATTATGACGTGAAACAGCCCGGAGAGTGCTGGCTGGCCCCAACCCAAACACCTTCACGCAATCACCTACTTAACCTAATCTGCTGGCATGTTTGCTGTCTGTGCGGCAGTGAAAAGTGGGAGGGAGAAGTGAGGGGCTCCTGCCGGTCTGCCAGGTGTGTGCACGGGGTGAGCAGTGAAAGACAGTGCCGGGGGTATGATTATCCCCGCGCCCTCATCGCCACCTTGTCCAGCCTGGCCTTAGCAGCATCCCACTCTGCCAGGTGCTGAGCTGTGGTGACCCCACAGCCGTCACACCAGCAGGAATGTCTCTGTACCCGGAGTCCCCTGAGGCAGCGCCCCTTGGGGGAGAAGGACCCCAACCCCGCACCACATATTTGGTGAGTACGTGCTGCTCGTGGTTTAACAGCCCTCCTCACTCAGCTCACGCATCACTTCTCCTGGGAAGCCTGCTGGGCTCCATCTCAGCAACTGTCCCTGGCAGCTACAGGCCAGGCCTGGCAGTGCCCCCAGCACGTGCACGTTTCTACAACCGTGCAGTTGCACCCGCCCTGTCATCAAGGCTCCTGAGCTGGGCTGGGATCACCCCTGGGCCTGGAGACTCCAGGGTGGTGATACTGAGAGGGCAGGGTCCTGGCTGCTGGGGGTGGCGTGCCAGGGGCCAGGCCCAGAGATCCCGCTTCTGTGCATGGGTGCCAGCCTCACTGTCCACATCTTCACCGTGTGCCAGGCTCACCGCTCGACTGGAGCTCCCGTATGTTCCCATACGGGAGAATGGGAGTAGATGCTCCTCTGTCTCCCAGTAGGTGCTCACATGGGCTGCTCCCTAGTCAGCTGCCGGTTGAACCAGCTTCTGATGAAGGACTCAGAACCATGCTGCCTCCCTGAGGAGGGGAGTTTCTGACACAGCAGTTACCAATTTATGTCCCAGTTGTGCATTTTCAAAAGTCTGAAGCTGCACAAATCAGGTACCGTGCGCCCAGCATCACACACCCTCCGATCCGTCCACCCGCTGTCAGCGCGGGCACATCTGTATGTGTCTTGTGTGCACATTTGTTCATTTTCCACTGGGCCATTTATAAGTTGCAGAAGTCATGACCCTTCACCTTTAAATTCTTGAGAAAGAGTCGCCTGCCCCCAGGATCGTGCCAACACCACTGTGGTTCCAATAGCAGGTGAGGAGCTCACAGGGAGATGAGATCCCTCTGCAGAGAGGTCCGAGTTCCTGTTTTCTCAGTTGTTCCCAAAACCTCCCGTATGAGGAACACAGCCTCTCTCTGCCCCTCCCCCAGCCCGCAGCCCTGCCCCGGGACCCACCAGCCCAGGGCAGGCGGCCCTGGAGGTGCCAAGCCAGCAGTCCCATTCACATATGAATTCCCAGCCACACCTGCTGACAGCTGGACACAGGGTGAAGGGGACCCTGTCCAGCCCCCTGTGGCCCTGCACCCCTGTGCTTGCACATGGTGGCCTGTTCTGTAGGCCCAGGAATCTGGGCATCTGGCTTAGAGAAAGTGACCAGGGAAACTCTGGCCTTCAAGGAAACCAGGTATGAAATCCCCTTCCTGCCCAAGAAAAAGAGAAGGCAGGTTCAGCAGAGGGTCTGTGCACACCCTGGACGAGCCCAGGCCCACCTGAGCTCTCCCCGCCCAGGTCCCACGGTGCAGGCACACCTTGGTCCCAGGGGAAGCGGCACATGCTGGGGACAGGGGTGGGGGATGGAGTGGATAGTGCACAGTGCTGTTACCACCTGGGAACTGACCGAGTGGACTGGGCTGCCCCCATTTGCGGCCCCAGCTGGGAGCCCCAGGGACAGGCCCTCCCTGAGTCAGCTCTGGGTCACCGGCACCTCAGTGACTCAGCCCAGGGAAGCAGGCGGGGGCGGCTATAAAACACGCTTGTCTGGAGCCTGTGGGGTGGGGCCTCATCCCCCTCGTGCAGTTAGCCTCCCTCTCACTCGCCCAGCCCTGGGGAGAGGCCACAGTAGGCTGGGCAGCTCAGGGCTACCTCCACTGGAGGGGCTGAGGGCAGGCCTGTGGGCCCTGCCGTGGGGCTAGGGGGGAGGGAGGGGGATGACCCAGTTAATGGAGAAGGCCGGAGGTGTCACTGCGGCCATAGGCCATCGTCCACTTGCCCCGAGGGTTCCTTCTGGATGGACAGTGCAGATGAACCAGGAGAAGTAGGGAAGGTAGCCTTGGAGGACTGGGGGTCCCCTCGCTGAGCTGGTGGCCCGTGTGGACACGGTCGTGTGAGATCCCATGTGCTGTGTGGTCCTCACCTTCCCTGGGCCCCAGAACCTTGTGCAGGATGGGTGTGGAGTGCGGGCCCTGGGGGTCTGGGGAGGGTCCAGGGGGTGATCACATGGGCTAGGCAGACCAGGCGATGGTGTCGAGGGGACACAGGCAGGGGCTGGGGGAGGGACAGGTGTTGGGACCTGGGGCGGGAATGTGCAGGTGGGGCCGACGGCATGAGGAGTGTCAGGTCAGGTCACGGGTGCGGCCCCCTGAAGAGGACGCAGATGAGCTCACCAGGCAGTGAGCTGCTTTCATTCCAAACTCGTTCTTCTGGCCTCTGAAGTCATAGTGCGACGTGTGCTCTCCTTAAAGAAGGCAGAGGAAACGTTTATTCAAGAAAATACTGGGTGGGAGCTGGGAGCAGGGCCCAGGCGACGGTTCATGAGAACCGTCAAGTTCATGAGAAGATGTGGGCTGGGCCCCCCAGCTCCCAGCCCCGTGGCAATGTCCCCAAAGCAGCATTCCCCACCCCCCGCAGTGGTGTCAGCCTCTCCCCCGACGTCCACGTCTGAGGGGGTCAACCCTGTGGTTCCTGGGGAAAGGGTGACAGCCTCCCCTGAGGCTGCTGAAGGTGGGTACGAGGTGTGACCCATGAGGAGGTGGGCTATACTCTGGAAGAGTGACTTGGGTCTTCTGATTTATGGGAGCACACGCGAGGGGATAGAGGAGGGTGTGGGGTGCAGTGGAGGGAAGATCAAGGTGTTGACAGGGGCCCACGAGCAGAGGCTGCAGCTGAGGTCGCCGTGCGGGGGCAGGAAGGGCTCTGACTGGTTGGCTGGCTGTTGGCTGAAACACAGTCCAAGAGACGACCCCCCTGCGAGTGAATGGGAAATGCCGGATCTGCCTCTGTTTCCTGCAGAGGGAAGGGGCTCAGAGGCTGAGGTGACAGAGCATCAGGTGAGACCCTCTCACACACCTGGGAGCATCCAGACACAGCTTCCCCCACAACAGTGAGGAATAAACCCTCGAGGGGAGCCCTGGCAACCCTGAAGGGCTCCGATCCCCTTCTCTGTGGGTCAGAACTTAGAGTGGGAGGCACGGCCGCTCGGTCGGGAACCCTAAGTGCAGCGAGAGTGATTGGCTCCTGGGGTGACCGGGCCCCACGGGGGCGCTCGGCTGCCAGGATCAAGGTGGGTGTGTTCACCACGATGGACAGCGAGGAAGCAGGTCACCTGGCACAGACTGTGGCCTTGGTGTTCCTAGAAGTGAGACAGATGGGAAGCCCGCTGGATTCTTACTCCATCTGTGTAAGCAAAGAAGTTCTAGGTCAGGTGAACAAAAGTCTAACCCGAATCATAAACACAGAGTCGTGGCTTTGACATCAGTTCCCAAACTAGGGCGGATTTACAGGCCTGGAAGCCCCCAAATGAAGGGGAGGCCAGGTGCCCTCAAGGAGGGACCCCCATACACGGCCAGCAATTCATATTATTACTCTTTCTCCCCCACCCCTCTTCCCCAAGGGACCAGCGGCCTTTCACCAGCATAACTGTGCCTCAGGGAAAAGGAAATGCTCAGAAGTTTCAGGATGACTGCACGCTGCTGCCTCTGAACTGACCCTGATTCCAAGACCCGAAGCATCACTGGTGTTGCAGTCAGAGTGGGGCTCACGGAGGTCAGGTGGTCAGTGGAATCTTAGCTCAGGTCCACCTCGCAGTGAGTCCAGCGGGTCCCAGAACCCATCCTGCGTCTATTTCCCCAGTTCCAGTCTGGATTGGAATAGGCACCCTCAGCAGCTGGCAGAATCCCATATTGCTTCCCTGACCTGCAGAGTGAGGGCTCTTCTGGTGGGAAAGGCCAGGGAAGCCACTAGAATAGCCTCCACCGAGTGAACCAAAGTGACACTGCGTTCCTGGAGGGACGGCAGGGATGAGTGCCACCATCGGGGGCTGGCAATTCCCACCACATCCCCATTCAACTGTCCTATCTGGCAGAAGAGAGTGGGTCTTGGAGAGTGACAGTGGATTATCATCAACTTAACCGGGCGGTGACTCCAATTGCAGCTGCTGTAACAGCTGCGGTTCCATTGACTGAGCAAATTAACACATCCCTCGGTACCTGGTATGCAGCTAGTGATCTGGAAAATGCCTTTTAATCCATCCTAGTCCAGAACGCCCACCAGAAGCAGTTTGCCTTCAGCTGGCAAGGCCAGAGATACACCTTCACTGTCTTAGCTCAGGGGTACACCCCCTCTGTAGGCCTATGTCACAATTTAGTTCTCGGGGAGTTTGAGCCATTCCCTTCCACGAGGGGGCACGTTGGTCCCCTGCCTTGATGACATCACGCCGATGGGAAGTAGTGAGCAGTAAGGAGCAACTACTCTAGACTTACTAGTCAGACGTTCGCATGTCAGACGGTGGGAACTACATTCAACTAAAGTTCAGGGGGAGGCTTCCCTGGTGGCGCAGTGGTTGAGAGTCCGCCTGCCGATGCAGGGGACACGGGTTTGTGCCCCGGTCCGGGAAGATCCCACATGCCGCGGAGCGGCTGGGCCCGTGAGCCATGGCCGCTGAGCCTGCGCGTCCGGAGCCTGTGCTCCGCAACAGGAGAGGCCACAACAGTGAGAGGCCTCGTACCGCAAAAAATAAAAAATAAAGTAAAATTCAGGGGCCTTCTCCCTCTGCGTGGGACATGCTGAGACATCCTTCCTAAGGTGAAGGTTGAGCTGCTGCATCGGCCCCTCCCAGAACCACGGCAGAGGCACAAGCCTCGTGGGCCTCTTGGGGTTTTGAGGCAACCTATCCCTCACTTGGGTGTGTTACTCCGGCCCATTTTCTGAGTGAGCTGAAAAGCTGCTGGTGTGAGCGGGGCCCCGAGCAGAAGAAGGCCCTGCAGCAGGTCCGGCTGCCCTGCAGCTGCGCTGACACATTCTCTGCATGTTATTTGGGGAAAACCATCTTCACTTGCATTTACCGTTCCCCATCTGTAAATGGACCTGATGAAATCATGGTGTGGACCCTGCAGGGGCTGCGGGGGCCCAGGTGGTGCGTGCCTAGGCTCCAGGGTGGGTGAGGGCCCTGCTTTCCTTTGTGATTCAGGAGCATGGACCCTCCTCTCCCTCCGTCCTCCCCACTGTCCAGTACTGACCCCCC